TGGATTAGGTGAACATGGATCTAATGAGGCGCCTCACGCTGAAATCCAGAAACAATTCTCTCTCCAGATCCAAGCCGCTGACGGTGGACAGCACCGGAAGTAAGAGAAGCAGCTTACCAAACCGCGTTGTATGCTGGGTGCACGAGCTGCAACTACAGCCGTTCGAGGGCAGCTGGTGGGGGCTGGGATGGTGGTGATGGTGGCCACCGGAGGTGCCGGTCACGGGATGGGCGTGGTGGAAGATGGGATGTTGGTTGTAGCTGCAGTAGTGGGCGAGGGCAAGTTGAGCCTGGTCCTGAAGGAGTTCAATACGTCTAGGCTCCAGCAGGCGCTCTCTCTGATCTGTGAGAACATGGCGGGGGAAACACATCAGTCAATGTGGGAATAGAGAGGGTGGGAGAATGAAGATATTCATTGGAGAACTGAGCTTGTCATAAGATGAAAGTAGTGCCATTATAATGGTTGACTGTTATTACAGTAAACATATAAAAATTTTCAATACTGTCACTATAATGTAGAAGTGTTTTCAGTGATAGGAAAACATAATTGCCTGGGTATAAACACTGTCACTGGATTAGAAAGAGAAGCCAGAACTGCCATAAAATATAGAATAGAATTTTCAATAAAACAAAGTGCAGTCGTTTGAATGTCGAAATAATTTTAACAAAGTAAAGTAAACTATTTCATTACGTTGTTGTGTATAGTGGACTAATACGTGTCCCTAGCGTGTCTTCAACAGACAATGTGCAGTGCAAGGGGAGACTGAGTACTTGGGTCACATGACTGGACGTTTTCAACATTCAAGTCACCCGCAAAAATTGAAGGACAATACAAAGCAATGAAGGAGGGGGGGGGGGGTGGGGGGGGGGTAGAGGCCGACCGAATTTCGGCTTCGGTTTCGGCGCCGAAAGGGACCATTTTACCACTTTCGGCCAAGTTTCGGTTTCGGTCGAAACTGGAAAGTTAACTTTCGGCTTAATTTCGGTTTCGGCCGAAAGAGAAAAGTTAACTTTCGGTTTTTCTTCGGTTTCGGCCGAAATTGACTTTGACTTTCGGCCATCCGGCCGAAAGTTACTCAGGTTTTCAGTCATTTAATACTAAGCGAAAGCGATATTTAACAAAAAACTAAACGACATTTAAGAACAAATTAAGCGATCTTTGAGAACAAACTAAATGATATTTAACAACAAACTAAACGACATTTATGAACAAACTTAACGATCTTTAAAACAAACTCAGCGATCTTTAAGAACTATCTAAGCGATCTTTAATAACAAACTAAACGATCTTAAAGAACAAACTAAACGATTTTTAAGACCGAACTAAATGATCTTTAAGAACAAAACAAATGATCTTTAATGATTTATAAGAATAAACTAAGCGATCTTTAACAGAAGACTAAATGTTCTTTAAAAACAAACTGACAGATCTTTAAGAACAAACTAAGGGATCTTTATGAAAAAACTAAGCGAATTTACAACAAACTAAACGATCTTTATGAACAAACTAAACGATCTTTAAGAACAAATAAAGCGATCATTAACAAAAACTAGACGATCTTTAACAACAAACTAATGCGATCTTTAAGAACAAACTAAACGATCTTTAACAACATACCAGGCGATCTTTATGAACAAACTAAAGGACCTTTGACGACAAACTAAACGATCTTTAACGACAAACTAAACGATCTTTAACAACAAACTAAACAATCTTTAACAACAAACTAAACGATCTTTTACAACAAACTAAACGATCTTTAACAACAAACTAAACGATCTTTAACAACAAACTAAACGATCTTTAACAACAAACTAAACGATCTTTAACAACAAACTAAACGATCTTTAAGAACAAACTAAACGATCTTTAACAACAAACTAAACGATCTTTAACAACAAACTAAACGATCTTTAAGAACAAACTAAACGATCTTTAACAACAAACTAAACGATCTTTAAGAACAAACTAAACAATCTTTAACAACAAACTAAACGATCTTTAACAACAAACTAAGCGATCTTTAACAACAAACTAAGCGATCTTTAAGAACAAATTAAGTGATATTTTACAACCACATTTTTTAGAGACCCGCTTTCAAAAAAATAATATTTTGCATTAATTTCCCCTCCTCCCCCCCCCACCCCCTCAATTTCTGCCAAATTTTCTCCTACAATACAAATTTGAAAAAAAAAAATGTGAATCAATTTAAATTAGTTTTATATCAAAATGGTAAAATACAAAGTATTCATTAGATCAAGGGTATCAAACTCAAATTATGGGGGGGGGGGGGGCGCAGGAGGTAGTGTCTGAATGAGAGTGGGCCGCATCAAGTAATCCACAAAAAAGCGATTACAACTGTTACAGCTGGTCAACCTTTATAAATAACAAAAAAATCATTAAGGGTTCTCAAGGACTAGGATTCACTTTCATCCACCTACTCACTGTTGCCAGAGAGCTGGCATACAAATATATAGAGACATTTAAAAAAAAAATCAGAATTAGATTAGTCGGTGAGATTCGACTGAAACCGTCGCGGAGAGTCACGTTATATATATGAGAATGGGGGAAACGGGCCGGCGAATTTACACTAAACTTTTCTGTCATGTAGCGGACCGCAAAATATCGTCTTGCGGGTCACAAATGGCTCGCTGGCCGCGAGTTTGAGAACCCTAAATTAGATTTTTATTTATTAATATTTACGATTATCTCATTTTTATAAAAAGAATGTAAATATTTATATTTTCCCACATCATTTTCGATGTAAGCAGAATGTAGGCGGGAAAAAATTTCAAAATATCTTAATATTTCATTTTCGGTTTCGGCTTCGGTTTCGGCCGAAATTCATTTTTAACTTTCGGCTTTTCTTCGGTTTCGGCCGAAAGTCATTTTTAAACTTTCGGCCTTTTTTCGGTTTCGGCGGAAAGTCATTTTAAACTTTCGGCCTATTTTCGGCTTCGGCCGAAATCAGAAAATCACTTTCGGTCGGTCTCTAGAGGGGGGCGCAATTTTACTTTGGATACAAAACGCTTTTTGTGTCCTGTGTTGGATTTTCACTTACCGCAACGCAAGAGAGCTATCGACTCCAGGAACGGCAACTCGGTTAGATCGGCCTGCACAGCTTGACACGCAGTTATCACCATTTGAAGATCTTCGTTTCCCCGTGTCTTGGCGTTGACAATGGATTCTTTCTGTCGTAGACGTCAAGAATTCGGTGATGAAAAACGAAATCCTTCATTTGTATTGGGCAAAATACGACAAAACAAATATATAAATATATATATATATATATATAATTTTTTTTTTTAAGGAACCTTGATTGCTTCGAGGACATTTCAAAAAGCTAAGTCAAGGATTGACCCATTGGGCGAGTTCTGGTAAAATCGAGCTCTGATGTTAGGGTCCAGGTCCGTGGCAAGCAAAAGCTGCGCCCAGCCCAAAACATTTTATATTTAGCCCAGCTTTGAAAAGGTATACAGTAATACCTCAAATATCAGGGGACTACGTTCAGAGACAACCCACCCCCACCCCCCCCCCACCCCGTGAAATGCGGAAATACAGCGAAGGTGGATTTACGTATATTTAAAAGGTTAATTAACCATTCACAGTCTCTTATAAATTCTATTTCCTTTTCATATTCTTTTCAAAAGTTTTAATTACAGTTATATATTTATTAACATCTCTAGAATAGGCTGATTTTCCCCCACAAAAATGTAAAGTAATAAATACATAATAAAGTGCGTATACCGCATACCGCCAAAATCCCCCCGAAAATAGCGAAAAATCAAATCCAGTGTACGTGAGAAAACCTTGAAGGAGTGAGAACGAGAAATGCGAAGTAGCGTGGTAGGACTTTATAATTATTTTTTCATTTACATTATATTTCATTGGCATTAACCATAACACCTTTGACACATTATAATTGGTCCTGCTTTCCCACGTTCCTGAAAGTGGCAAAAAGAATTTGGACTCTTTGAGCAGTACGTGGCTATAACAGAAAAAGATGTCCCTTGCTAAGCCGTCATCATTTATTCCCCTTGCTAAAGTGTCCTAATTTCTTCCCCTTGCTAAACTGTCCTCATTTCTTCCCCTTGCTAAACTGTCCTCATTTCTTCCCCTTGCTAAACTATCCTCATTTCTTCCCCTTGCTAAACTGTCCTCATTTATTCCCCTTGCTAAACTGTCCTAATTTCTTCCCCTTGCTAAACTGTCCTCATTTATTCCCCTTGCTAAACTGTCCTCATTTCTTCCCCTTGCTAAACTGTCCTCATTTCTTCCCCTTGCTAAACTATCCTCATTTCTTCCCCTTGCTAAACTGTCCTCATTTCTTCCCCTTGCTAAACTGTCCTCATTTCTTCCCCTTGCTAAACTGTCCTCATTTATTCCCCTTGCTAAACTGTCCTCATTTATTCCTTTCTTCACGTTTTGCCATCACGGCTGCCTAATAAAGATACAACATGTATTTATTTATGTTTAAACACCCCACCCCAGGACTGATATTTAGAGGCTCCCATTTTAGTTAATTTCTATTGAAAGAATTAATATCATGCTTTAGTTAGAATCTGTACAGGAATGTAGAGCCACCACTGCATTAATTGGGAGGGGGAGGGGGGAATCTTCACCCGCTTGAAAATTTGAACTCCATAGGACACATCCGTTTAACAATCTTGATTTAACGACAAAAATGGATCACACTAATTATTTCTTATTACACTATCATTCTTTCGGAGCTGTTTGTCGAGTTTCCGCCAAAGCGATCTGTACTGCTTTCGTTGATCAGCCAAGAATAACCCCCCCCCCCCCCCCCCCCCCCNCCCCTAAAAAATGGAACCTCGAAAATCCCTTTTCTCACACCCTAAGTAACGAGATCCCCGCTTAACTGTCCCCCTCCCCCCCCCCCCCCCCCCTCAAACCACCCATTTCCCATGGTCTGGCTTGGCCCATAACGCCATAACTCAATCGATGCCTACCTTCGAGTTGCTTTTCTCTCGTTGTTTATCGATCACCTTGGAGACGTCCACCGGCCAATAAGCAGCCGCCAGGACGAAGAGCTCCGCCCACCTCAGCTCCAAGAGAACTAATTGATCATGCGGATGGAGGAGCCGGAAGAGATGGTTGTACTGCGCTCGGCGGAGGGATGCGAATAGAACTTGTTGGACGATAGACTTGAAGAACTGATCTGGGTCGCCCGGGTCAGACACATCTGTGAGGATTAGATTGACAGGGGTCAAGTGAATGTACATAAGCGGGGTTGCTGCCTGCACGACAAGATGTCAACACAGTTAAATCTACAGCACGCGATCTAGAAGTGGAAGTTATCAAGGTGGCTTATCAGTGGCGTAACTAACAAGGGGCGTGGGGGGGGGATAAACATTTAGCTCAACCAATTTGAAAGATCTAATGCACTATTTGGACTCAGGAGATCTTGTGCAGTAGTAGTTGTTGTTTGGTCGTCCTCCACACGCTAAGATGACCAGTGCTATTTTCGACGGTGATATCGCAGGTGCCTGGCCACTTGCCAGTTGGGTTTGTTGGTTTGTTTGTTGTTGTTTTTTTGTTGTTGTTTTTGTGTGTGTGTGTGTGTGCCTGGAAAATTTCCCGCGCGAAGGATCTCGGGTTATAGATACCATGAATTGGAGTTGAGTCTGCTTTTCCTTGCAGTGCGCTTTATTTTTGGAGGCGTTTACCCTCTGAGTGAGCCAGTCTCTCCAGCTTGAATGATACAACGGGGAGACTACCTCTCCAGCTTGAATGATACAACGGGGAGACTACCTCTCCAGCTTGAATGATACAACGGGGAGACTACCTCTCCAGCTTGAATGATACAACAGGGAGACTACCTCTCCAGCTTGAATGATACAACAGGGACACTACCTCTCCACCTTGAATGATACAACGGGGACACTACCTCTCCAGCTTGAATGATACAACAGGGAGACTACCTCTCCACCTTGAATGATACAACAGAGAGACTACCTCTCCAGCTTGAATGATACAACAGGGAGACTACCTCTCCAGCTTGAATGATACAACAGGGAGACTACCTCTCCAGCTTGAATGATACAACAGGGAGACTACCTCTCCAGCTTGAATGATACAACAGGGAGACTACCTCTCCAGCTTGTAAGATCCATAGAAAGTGTTTCCCATAAACTTAGGGAGGTGTCCAGGGGTTTGAGTGAAGCTTTTGGAAATCTCTGACACGTTTTTTTCTCTTCTGCCCACCATCTAAAATTTCACCGAACATTAATTGTTTAGGAAGTCTGCTATCTGGCATTCTCGCAACATGCCGTGTCCACCTGGCATGTCCTTATGTAGTAACATAAACTTAGATATCGTTTTACAGCCGTAGACTTAAGGATATCTTATGTCTTATGCAGTAACACAGCCTTAGGATTTCCCGTGTTTACTCATGCTGGAAAATTTAATTTCTGCCAGTCAAATCTGCTGTCTTTTATACTTCTATCGCTGTGCATAAGATTGTCATCTAAGTTTCTGATGCTGTCACATAAATTTCAGAAGCTGCCACATACGTTTCTGGATACATTCCTAGTGTTGTCACATATATGTATGATGTTTCACAGACATTTCTGATGTTGTCTAAGACATTTCTGATGTTGTCACAGACATTGCTGATGTTGTCACAGACATTTCTGATGTTGTCACAGACATTGCTGATGTTGTCACAGACATTTCTGATGGTGTCACAGACATTGCTGATGTTGTCACAGACATTTCTGATTTTGTCACAGACATTTCTGATGTTGTCACAGACATTTCTGATGTTGTCACAGACATTTCTGATGTTGTCACAGACATTTCTGATGTTGTCACAGACATTTCTGATGTTGTCACAGACATTGCTGATGTTGTCACAGACATTTCTGATGTTGTCACAGACATTGCTGATGTTGTCACCGACATTTCTGATGGTGTCACAGACATTTCTGATGTTGTCACAGACATTTCTGATGTTGCCACAGACATTTCTGATGTTGTCTCTTGAAATATGACCCATTTCCATGCTTGGGTTTTTAATGAGAAGTAATGCGCCCTGGTCACGTGATGAAGTAAAACTCTCAGCTAAAGAAGCTGCAAGTGTCTTCACTAAAATGTCATTGATTCCACCGCGAGTCCAAATGTCACCGGCTTACATCGACCTCAAGGCCAACTGTAGGAATGACCACTCCAGTCAAACTGCTCATGTCCGATATTCAAATGTGACTTAACTGGTCGTTCAATCGACTGGTCGTTCAATCGACTGGTCAGCTTGGTGGACTTGTTGACTCTCGCACTAATGCTAGGGGTTGGAAGCACAGAGCTACATCTTTAATTGGACAACTTCTATAGGACCAGTAGCGTACCTTGAATAAATAATACCCGGCCGGGGGGGGGGGGACTATAAAAAGTGCGCCCCTTGCACACACTCTCACTCTTTGAATAATGAAATGTGCAAAGTCATATTTATATAATTCATATTTCTGTAAGTCATATTTCTATATATTAATATTTTTAGTCATATTTCAATATAGTCATATTTCTGTAAAGTGTTATTTCTATCTATAAATCATAATTCTTTAAATCATATTTATTATAGGTCATATTTCAATAAGTCATATTTCTTTAAGTCATATTTATTATAGTTCATATTTTGATAGATCATATTATCATAATAAAGTCTCATTATTATATGTCAGATATCTTTAAGTCCTGTTTCTATAAATCAAATTTATTATAAGTCATTTTTCTATAAGTCCTATTGCCATGAAGTCATATTTATTATAAATTCTATAATTCATATTTCTATATAGACATATTTTTATAGTCATATTTCAATATAGTGATATTACTATAAAGGGATATTTCTATCTATAAGTCATATTTCTATAAGTCATATTTATTATACGTCATATTTCTATAAGTCATATTTATTATAAGTCAAATTTCTATAATTCATATTTCTTTAAGTCATATTGCTATAAAGCCATTTTTGATAAGTCATATTTCTATCAGTCATATTTCTATAAGTCAGATATTTCTACAAGCTCATCCGTTACTTACGTGTTATCTCGGTGGTCGTGACAGGAAGTTTGATGACGTCACTGGTAAGGTCACCGAGGAGGATACCGGGGAAGGTCGCCGCAGGTTGCCATGGCAACAAGCCGTGCGGTCTGGGCGGCACCGGTCTAAAGGCACTTAAATAGGACCCCCATGTCAGGGGCGATGTCATGGGGTGTCCGAGATACGGCCTGATGTCCAGGGGCGGAAAGGGTGAGACGACTGTCGAGGTGGTGGCAGGGGGTGCCTCCATGTGGAGGTTTCGTCTCGCCGCTGAGTTCTTCTTGGTCCCTTTATTCTTACGTGGTCCTCGCTCCTCTTGTACAGCTGTCAGGGGGTGAAAAGAGCAAACAAGGGGGTGAATCGAGCAAACAATGTGGTGAATAGAATAAACAAGGGGCTGAATAGAACAAACAAGGGATGAATAGAGCAAACAAGGGGTGCAAAGAGCAAACAAGGGGGTGAATAGAGCAAACAAGGTGGTGAATAGAATACACAAGGGGCTGAATAGAACAAACAAGGAGGTGAATATAGCAAACAAAGGGTGAATAGAACAAACAAGGGGGTGAAAAGAGCAAACAAGGGGGTGAATATAGCAAACAAGGGGGTGAATAGAACAAACAAGGGGGTGAATAGAGCAAACACGGGGGTGAATAGAGCAAACAAGGGGGTGAATAGAACAAACAAGGGGGTGAATAGAGCAAACACGGGGGTGAATGGAGCAAACAAGGGGGTGAATAGAGCAAACAAGGGCTGAATAGAGCAAACAAGGGGGTGAAGAGAACAAACAAGGGGCTGAATAGAACAAACAAGGGGGTGACTAGAGCAAACAAGGGGGTGAATAGAACAAAAAAGGGAGTGAATAGAACAAACAATTGAATAGAGCAAACAAGGGGGTGAATAGAACAAACAAGGGGATGAATAGAACAAACAAGGGGGTGAATAGAGCAAACACGGGGGTGAATAGAACAAACAAGGGGGTGAATAGAACAAACAAGGGGGTGAATAGAGCAAACAAGGGGGTGAATAGAGCAAACAAGGGCTGAATAGAGCAAACAAGGGGGTGATGGATAAATTAAGCAATCGAAAGATGTGATGTTTAACCCCACCCCCTTCCTTTTATCTACCTCCTATTGTAGCATAGGAACATCATTGTAAATAAAAGTGTTTGATGGTAAAACTCGTCAATTTTGCAATTGTTTAAAAATTGAGCCATCCCGAGATACCCGAATTTCCACATCAGAATGGACACTTACGAGACACTCTAACATTATTACAGACACTTACGAGACACTCTTACATTATTACAGACACTAAGGAGACACCCTCACATCAGGACATACACCCAGAAGCACACAACTTTTGAAGTGAAACTAAACTGGGATTGATCCAAGTCAAACTATTTCCCTATGTGAAGTTTCTATGACATAATGTGTACATCATATGTCGTAGGAGAAATGTCAACAATGAGGAGACGTCCATATAATATGTATAGAACCCAAGCAGAGATGGTACAATACTATGTAATGGACCTCAAGCAGAGGTGGTCCAGCAAATTAACGCAATAAAGTAGATCACCATTAAAAGTCTTTTTATTTTTATTTTATGAGCCATCAATTTGAAACATTGACAGATCGTTCAGGCGAATGTAAAGTTTGATGGACTCATTGAATCTCTTACTACTGCAGCGATGTCCTCTCACTTACCTAAAATTAGACTGAAGAAAAGAGACCTTTTTGGTGTGTTTTTGTTTGACAATTACAAGACTAAATCCGGTGACAGTCAGGAATGGATAACAGCAGTCGTTCAAGTCCTTCACCCGAGCCCGAGCGTCACCTTACCAGCGGAACAAATGCATTGTCTATGGTTGACCTCAGAAGTGCTTATAAACAGATGTGCATTCGACGTCAGAGTCTATGACCTAAACTTCGAGTAGATCTTTCAGCGTAAGTTAGAGCTGGAAGTGAGATTTTATGAATTGTGGGAAATGCAAAATTAATCGTGTCCAAATTGTGCCACATGCTGTCATTTACGGTCACATACTGTCACTTTTGTGATGAAATCAGGAGTCAGGTATTATGTGTGGCAGGGGTTGTGATATGAATCGTTCTCAAATGAAAATTGATTTTTTTTTTTTTAAAAGGGGGAAAAAAATGGAATAATCTAATGGTGAAAAGATGCAGAGTTGGGCTTTGGAAAGTTGTCCCCCGAAAGGAATTAAATATTAAGTAACAGAATTAACTGCTCGCGAAATGGCGGCACAATTTGCGGTCAAGGTGTCGTAACACAGCGGGGACTGAGACGGAACTGGGGAAGATGACTCTTGCTTGACGTGTGATACTGTCACAACTGCCCTCGCCATGCCAAATCAAGCATCTCCCGCTGGCCCTAATCCAATCCTTGCGCAAGCCACACGTTGCAGGGCTTCAGATTACAGAATGCTTGATTTGGCCGTGATCGGATCACGTTTCAAGTTAAACACAGAGGCCGATGAAATATTTAGACCTTCCTTGCAGCTCTCAATTACGTTAGAACTCTTTTTCTTTAAAAGGCTTCCCACGCCTCGCCCCCCCCCACACCCACCAAATCCTCTTTGGCTATCTGTGTTAACAGCCACAAAATTTTTGTTTAATAAGCAGATAGAGTATAAGAATTAACAATCTCGGGAGTATGTTCTAACTTAAAGAATCAATGAAACAATGTAGATTGTCAGCTAAGTTGGGTGCATTCCCAACAATGCACTTGTGATAATTTGCAATGTGACCTCTTTAGATGTAGCCGGTCACTAACGTAGATTCCAACACAAAGATTAGAGTTCATCGGTTGCATTATGTAACGTTGTCGTATGACCGAAGCAAGAAACAATCGGATAGTTTATCGACTACTGCAGCTACCGATGTGCAAGGAGTTACGTACGGGTCTTACCGTTTCTGTTCATGTTGACAGCGAAACATTTCTCAAGACGGCAATGTGGGCACCAGTTCCTTCTGGCCTTGTCAATCAGACAGCTGCCCTTACCTGGAGAATACATTGGAATATGGGACTTTACCTGGAGAATACATTAAAATATGTGCCTTACCTGGACATTACATTAGAATATATGGATTACCTGCAGAATAAACAGGAAGATATGCTTCTTCCCTGGATAATACTTTTGAATACATGGATAAATTTGATAGACTTTGTTAATATAATGACTACACCAATGGTTCTCAAACTCTTGGCGATCCATCGATAGAGGGGTTCGCCAACAAAAAAAAAATCTAAAATGTAACTGGATTAATTCACTGGTTCATTATTGATATCAAATTATTATATGTAAGAATTTATCGAAAAGAGATTTGGAAAATTATGAAAGATATTTAATTGATAATAATACTATTTTAGAACGACTACAGTGGACTAGTGTCTCCCTTCTTTTATACCCTCTCTTAGACAAAGTCATTGATTGGTCAATTTGAGTAGAACTTTGGCTTCTAAATCCCAATTGATGTCTTGTAAAAACTGAGACCACCGGAGATAATGATGTGATGGCTGGTAATGATGTGATGGCTGATAATGATGTGATCGCTAATAATGATGTGATGGCTGATAATGATGTGATGGCTGGTAATGATGTCATCGGTGATAATGATGTGATTTCTGATAATGATGTAATGGCTGATAATGATGTCATCGGTGATAATGATGTGATTTCTGATAATGATGTGATGGCTGATAATGATGTCATCGAGGATAATGATGTGGTCGCTGATAATGATGTCATCACTGATAATGATGTCATCGGTGATAATGATGTGATGGCTGATAAAGATTTCATCTAGGATAATGATGTGATGGCTGATAATGATGTGATGGCTGATAATGATGGGATCGCTGATAATGATGTCATCGGTGATAATGATGTGATCGCTGATAATGATGGCATCGAGGATAATGATAATGATGTGATAGGTTTTAGTGATTTTATCCGGGATAATGATGTCATCAGTGGTAATGATGTCATCGGTGATACTAATGATAATGGTTACACACTGACATTGGGGCTTTTGATGTCATCATCATCAGTGGTACTACAGCCCATGTAGGCGCCTGGCCTTCTCCACCCCATCCTTCCATTCGGATCGATCCATGACTTTCCGTCTCCATTCGCGAACACCCTAACTGATATAAGTCCTTCTCTACATCGTCGATCCATCTCAGCCTTGGTCGACCGTTGAGCCGCCTGCCCCTAGGTTTCTGCCTGTGGTGTTTCACGTTTGCTGCTCTACAGCACGCCCTGTCCAGCGCAGTCTGCCATTTTTTGTATTGTTATGATTATGGATGGGGCTTTGTACAAATGCTGAACCTTGTTGCTATTCTGGGTGGGTCTTTGCACAAATGCTATACCTCTTGTTTTGTACGGAGTTATTGATGTAGCATCACTAAATAATAACAACAACTTGAATCAATTTTAAGAATATCAAGTTTCCAATTTATCAACAAACAATAAAACGAAATCGCCGTTGAAAATAAACAACGAATTTTTTGTTTAATTTCAAAATTAAATAAAGTTTAATGAATTTGAGTTTATTCCCATTAAAAAGGTTAATGGATTCTTTGTCTGTTAATGTACAGAATTAGAATTTAACGCAATATCAACTGAGCATCCAAGTAAATACACCCAAAATTGTACTTATTTTTTTTTTTTTTTTAAATTTCTTTTAAATGTTGAAAACTGGAACCAGGGTTTCTTCAAGTCAAAAAGCACTGTGTTAGAATAGATGATCCTCTGCATCTCGCTACACCACCAGACTACGAAAAATGTGTTTATCAATGACCTAAATCAGAGGTTCCCAAAATATGTCTAGTCACGGCGCCCTTGCTGCAACCCCCTCAAGTCAAGTCCTAAGATTTGCATAGTGAAAGACGAAATTTTAAATGGGGCGTTTCCCAGTTCGCTGTGCCCCCGGGAGAAAGCTGCGGCGCACAGTTTGAGAAACTCTGGATTAGTGCCTCCACTCTCTTAAGAATGAATTGCTGCTAGGGGCGGAACCACCTTTCCACACCGACATTCCTACACCAATGCACTGACCCATGCAATTAATTATGATGGTGATGGTACTGACCTTTACAAATAATTATGATGGTGATGGTACTGACCTACACAATTAATTATGATGGTGATGGTACTGACCCAAACAATTAATTATGATGGTGATGGTACTGACCAAAACAATTAATTATGATGGTGATGGTACTGACCTATACAACTAATTATGATGGTGATGGTACTGACCTATATACAATTAATTATGATGGTGATGGTACTGACCTATATACAATTAATTATGATGGTGATGGTACTGACCTATACATGAGTAGGAGATGTTTTTCCGAATGCTTCTCTTAAAGAAGCACGAGCAACCGTCACAACAGAAGACCCCGTAGTGTTTGCCATAACTCTTGTCTCCACACACCTCACACGACACGGGAACTGGCAGTGTCCGGCCTGGAACATGTGGAGGAACGTGTGTTGAGGGGAACATGGGTGCAAGGTCAAGGTGGCAACGAAACGGACAGTATGGTAATGACGGGGACTTGAAACATTACTTTTCTAGAAACATGACATAGCTATAAACATGACAACTTTAAAAACATGCCAAATCTATTAGCGTGATATAGCCATGATCAAGATATCTATAAACATAACATATCTAGAAACATGACATCTTTAAAAACATGACAAATCTATTAACATGATATAGCCATAAACATGAAACTGTTAAATTATGTTAGTTGCATGATATTTGGAAATGTCATTATTCTAAAAACAAATATATGTTGTTATTTTAATCAAAGTTTATGATTTTGCAGTGACAAAAATGCCCATTGAAATTTATTTGTTGGGTCAATAAAAGATTTTAAAATGCAAACATACGGAAATGTTTATTATTTACTCAGATGCTCGCTTTACGGGTGGCGATAGGAATATATATATATTGGATATTTTTAGGTGAAAATGTGGTTTAGGACATCCGTTTGCCAAGATGCATCTTGATACCAAAGTGTAGAACAATAAGGTGTTATAAGACAGGTTCCTTGCAAAGTCTTGTTGTACTGATCGCTTCCATGCTAAATGTTGCAACATTTATTGTGCTCAAGAAGCGCTCAACTTGTTCAACCAGAGCAACTCTAGCGTACGATGTGGGGAAAGGGGGGGGGGTGTGGAAAAGGGTGAGGAGACAAAAAAGTGTGTGTGTGTGGGGGGGGGGGGGCTAGACACACAGCACTCTAAAACATTAAGAAAAAAAAAACATTTCTCGGAATTGTAAAATGAATCACAGCACAAGTCACATTTTGTATTTTCTTAATACAACGTCATTTATTACATCGTAGGTGCCGAATTTTCTGCGAACCAAGTTTGCAATAACATTTCAAAAAAAACACTCTTTAAACAAACTAATATACAGAACTATACACACAATTAAGAAAACTTAAATAAGGCAAGTACTTTCCCATGTAAACACTTTTGACTGCACCGGATTATTTACTGTTTTAAGCATATCTTTAAAAAAAATATATAACTTGTTTAAAAATAAAATATTAATTAATAACATTTAGTCAAAGTTGAGAGTCAAAGAAAGTGTGTGTGTGTCGTGTGAGTGTGTGTGGGGGGGGGGCATGCAAAGGATGACTTTGTGCGTTGAAGAAATCGCTCAGATCATTAAATTCAGTTTTCTCTTTGAACTAATTTAAAACATTCACGAAGAGCGCACAACAGCCAGTCATCACCCTGAGCCGACAGTGGGGTCTCTTGTAAGTTTGGCGTACCGCGTTTTGCGTCATTTGTGACGGGGAAGCGCCAAACTCGAACGTCACACACAACCCTTAACTACGCCAACATTTTCACACAACATGGCGCGAATTTTTGCAACGTTTCTATATGTAATGTTCAAAATTAAAATCGCAAAATATTCTATAATTATTCCGTCTAGATTCTATCTTTCCAATGACAGCCATTTTGTTTGTGTTTTTGTTTAAAAGCTCAAGTCACAAGGTGATTCAAGGCACACGAATAGTGATGTACAAGACTATAGGTGACACAGTGCATCACTTTGGTGTACAAGACTATAGGTGGCACAGTGAATCACTTTGGTGTACAAGACTATAGGTGGCACAGTGCATCACTTTGGTATACACGACTATAGGTGGCAAAGTGCATCACTTTGATGTGCAAGACTATAGGTGGCACAGTGCATCACTTTGGTATACAAGACTATAGATGGCACAGTGCATCACTTTGATATACAAGACTATAGGTGGCACAGTGCATCACTTTGATATACTAGACTATAGGTGGCACAGTGCATCACTTTGGTATACAAGACTATAGGTGACACAGTAGCATCACTTTGGTATACAAAACTATAGGGGACTCAGTGCATCACTTTGGTATACAAAACTATAGGGGACTCAGTGCAGCACTTTGGTATACAAAACTATAGAACGAATTTATTTTAAAAATAAAATTATTGAAAGTTTTGGGATGTTGGTAAAAATCAAAATCCATTTTTTTTTTTAATTGGCGATACAACTTCATGGCTTTCTTCTTTTTTTTTTTTTTTGTTTTTTTTGTTTTTTTGTGTTTTTGGTTTTTTTGTTTTTGTTTTTGTTTGTGTTTT